AAAAAAAAAGAAAAAAAAAAAGTTAAATTACAAATTCTGACATCAAGTCCTTAAACTTTTTGATGACTCAACATCCCTCAACTTTTTTTGATGAGTCAAGGTCCCTCAACTTTTGCTTAGTCAGCAAAGTCCCTAAACTTTTGGATGACAAACACTAAAGTAGGTGGTTGAGGGACTAAATTGGTGAAAAAAGTTAAAGAGGGACTAAAACGGCTTTTATACGAAACTTCAGGGACTGTATTTATGCTTTACTCTATAAATTTCTAAAATTATAAGTATTTTTACGATTTTTTTTGTACTTCAAGACATAGTCTGTTAGACTGTTAAAGTATTATACCGCTTGTTAGACTGTTAGAGTATCTTGATTTTATTATATGAATGAAAATATATCTTCTCGCACATTTACGTTTAATAACATTATTTAATTATTTAACTTATGTAAACATTGAATTAATATTAATCACTACTAAATGCCCGAGCCATGCTCGGATTTTTCAAAACATATAATTGGATTATTTTTATGCATAATATGATAAATACATTTTGTAGGTTGATTTACTTAGTTCTTTTTTTAGTTTGGTCAAATTGAACATAGGATTATGCATCTTAAAATTGAAAATTTCTAGCTTATCTTTTTACTATGATAAAATTAACTTTTTGTCATTGATTGCTTTTAAATTTCAAGCTTTATAGCTAACTTGAAATTATTAAATTTTTAATGAAAAAAAATTAAAAAAACAATATTTTTGGCGGGAAAATTTTTTATGTGGTATTTACACGTGTAATATAAGAATATATCTGGGGATTACTATAATACTAGTTTAGTCCCCGTGCATTGCCCGGATTAAGTAACTATTATTTGTTTAAATAATTGTCCAATTTTTTATTCAAAAAAGTGTAATCATAATTTCATTAATTAATTTTAAAAGAAGTATTGTATTTATTTAGTTTGGAGTAGTCCTCAAAACAAAAAAAAAAAAAAAAAAAAAAAAGGAATATATGAGATAAAAAAAAGAGAAAAAAAGGATGATGTCAAAAATAGTTTAAGCGGGAAAATTGTTAATAAAAAAGTGACATGTGTCCCTTTATGATGTCAGCAAGTTTTGTTTTAATAATAGTTAATAGATGTAGATATAGATATAGATAGATAGATTAGGCACAAATTAAAACTGAATTACTATAATTTTTATCACAAAAGATATTAATATTTTTTACAAGCAAAAGATATTAAATTAATATATATGAATAAATAAATGAAAGAAGATAGTTGAGAGACCAAAGAAAAGTGGACAAACCTGAAGAATTAGGTGCAATATGAAGTGGAGTTGAACCATGTTCACCACTAAGACTATAAGAGAAGGATGACACCAATATCTTCCCAGCAACCTTATTGCACCCTTTTTGGACTGCACGGAAAAGTGGGCTACATCCGTGTGTATCCACCATGTTACACTGCAACTCCATATCAATTGACATTATCTCCATTGCACTTTCCTCGTTTGAATTAAACAAGGCTACAATCAACGGTATATTAACTGATAACCAGGGTTTATTATAACTAGATGGATCTGGTTGTGATTTGTAGACGTCAAGGATTAGCTTCACCATTTCAGCACTATCATTGCACGAGTCAATGTAAGCCGCGCAATGAAGAGGATTCCTATCCTCAATGTCCCCTTGAAAGAGGAGTGTCTGTTTTTGTTGGATAGTAATTGGTAATATTTCCAACGCTACTCTCAGGAACTCTACTTTGCTACACAACGCTGCAATATGGAATATATGTTGTTGGGCATTATTTTTAGCGATGAAGTAATCTGGTGGTTGTGAGGCAATAGCTCTTCTCAGGAACTCTACATCTCCATTGATTGCTGCTGCTTCTAGCCTTTTGTCCATAGATTAATTGTTTACTCTTTAAAAAAAAAATTTAATTTGAAATAGTTAAGTATTGCTAACTTCTTCTAATCGTGCCTTACAACATATTAATCTTTAAAGGTAAACATCCATTTTTAGCTTTAATATTTCTATATAGATATTAGAAATTTAGAATTTTTGAAATCCCATTTTGTGAAGAAACGCACCAATACTTTTATTAAACAATTAAGAAAAGAACCAACACTACATAACATCGACTTTTTACTTTTTACAGTGGTTTTTTTTTTTATTATTTTTACTTTTTTAATTTTTTAATATTTAGGGGAGGGGATTGTGTGTATGGGTGTATGCAGTGGCGGATCCAGGATTTTCGAGATGATGAGTCACCATCAATTATCAAAAATGAGGTTTCGGTTGCAATATTGGTAACGGTCATGAATTGCAATAACGAAAATGATGCGGTTATCACGAAACGGGTTGCGGATGTCGTGTCTAAATTTTAATTAGTAGTTTGATATTTTTATATATTTTAAAACCATATTCTATGGTATATTATTATTACTCTCTCCGCTTTTTTTTGTGCCCCATTGATCATTTTGGCACTATTCATTAAACACATTTGACTAATGTTTATGAATTACGCACGTATTAAGAAAAAATAAAGTTTTATGGGTAATTATTGAAATCGATTCAATTAGTAGATTATTAATATTAAAAATATATTTATTTGATCAAAATTTTACCTCAACATGTGTGTCATGTTATTATGGGATACTTAAAAACAAACATAAGGAGTATTAGGCAAAACCACCCAAGCAGCTTACAACTTTACAAGTACGAGTACTAATTTCTAAAGCCAAAAGGAGAAAAAAAAAAAAAAAAAAGTGTATCAAAATGTAAACGTCAGAATTTTAAAAGCTATTGCCTAGTAAGAAATAACTTTAAATTCCTACTCTACTCCATATTGGGTACTTTTTCCTATGCTTTCAAAATACATTAAAAAAGTTTTGCATTTTAAATTAAATAAATAGAGGAGTGGAGGTTATGGACCTATAAGTCTTAGACACCTGTCCTACACCTATTCTAAAACTCAAATATTGCATAATCTATTCATCTTCTACCGTTCTACCCCATACTTCAAAGATCTCAGCCATGGAGCCACTGTAAAAGAAAAGAAAATAAAGGGGGAAAGGCTAAAATTCCATTTCATTTTTTAGTGTTGCTGGTGCACGTGCATCACCATGCACACATGTAGCTCCGCCCCTGGTGTGTGTTACTAGCCAATTATTAATCAAATTTTTATGTGATAATTGAAGTTTGGGTGTGGAATGTAATATGCTGTACGAATTATATCACAATACTTTGTTCTCTCTTACAAAAAAAGAAGTAAATAGAATAATAATAATAATAATAATCTTGTTCTCGAGCAATTGGATATGAATTCCTTTCCTTCTTTTTTTCTTCACTCGGGAAATTATACAAGGACGCTGTTGCGTTGCTGAATCGGGTTAAGAAGTTCTCAACAACTCAGGACATTAGAGCTCATGCTGCAACTCATATTTTTACTAGGATACCCTTGTTGATGTTTGCTATCGGTCAGGGATTTCAGCTAGAAAGGAGGTGGACATTGAGTTATTTGGAGGGAACGACGGGACTCTCAGACCTGCAGATGCGTTAGTTTATTCATGAGACGTGGTCGCGATGTATGTGTTGACGTAACAGGGTCTTCTCCATTGACACAGTCTTGGCTTTCTGACTTTGTTCCGAGACGGGTTGTGACTGATGCGGCCAATCGGAAGCGGGTCAAGTACGAATCCAGTTGTCGAACAATTGGATATGGTTTCCTTCCTTTCTCTTTCTCTTTCTCTTCTCTTGGAGAGTTAGAAAAAGAGGTTGTTGAATTGCTGAAGCGGATTCAGAAGTTCTCGAAGACTCAGGATATTGGGACACGAGCTGCAACTCATATCTTTACTAGGATCGGCTTTTCTATAGCTAGAGGAAGGGGCCCAGATTGTATCTCGGCTTCCCACTAATTTTTTATAGATTGTATAACTTTATCTGTTTTTGAGATATAATAATAATAATAATAATAATAATAATAATAATAATAATAATAATAATAATAATAATAATAATAATAACTACAACAACAACAACAATAATTATGAAATCTACTCTACTCGGCTCGGCTCTGCTCTGCTGCAATCTACTCTACTTTGCTCTGCTGAGATTTGCTCTGCTCTGCTAACTCATGCTTTGCCCATAAGCTCAAAAGAATAAGGTCTAAGTAGGGAGTAGAATTGAGCATGGGCGGGGCCAGCCCGCGGGCGGCACGAGCCCGCTAGCTAGCAGCCCCACATGGCACGAGGAACTAGGGGTGGTTCGTGGGCCGTACCGTGAACAAGATTTTTTTTGCATAAACCCAGCACGAGCCCGCAGGCGCCCACCAACACTACCCATTATAATAAAAATAATAGACTATAAATAATAAAAATAATGTGCAGAACTATAAATAATAAAAATAAAAATATAATAATTATTACAGTTAGCTAATTAATAATAAAATTAATGGGGCTAGCCCGACACGATCCGGCCCGCCACACATGTGGGTAGTGTTGTGCCGTTGGTTAGGGTGTGCCATATGGTGGCCCGGCCCGACCCGCCATCACCCAGTCCCGGCACGACACGACATAACCCACCTTATGACATGGCGAGACACGACATACGGTGGCTTGGCACGGCACGATGCCTAGCTCTACTAGTAAGTGAAATATGTTAATTCAAACATATAGTCGTTTTCAGTTAGTCATTTGTTTTTGTGTATGCAAATTGTGATTCAAGAATAATGATATAATCACAGTTAAACTTTTATTTCCTTTATATAATATCAAAACTGTTAGATAATATGTTTATATTATCTCGTAAATATTCTGTAAAATATATCTTGTGTATTTTAGGTTATTCTCATGATTAGGTTGTAAACCCTATATATATTGATTTAATGAGAATGCCTCCGCTAAGGAGAATTACACAATCTTACATGGTATCAGATTCCAATTAGGGTTTTCTCTCTTCTCAACCCTAACAACGATCCTACACCTTCCCTTAGCCGTCCCTAACTCACCACCATGCCCGGTGATGACGAAACCCCCCCTCCTCCTCCTCCTCCCAAAAACACTCCTTTTCACCCGATATATGCCATTAACAACATCAAATCTGTTATGAACGTGACTCTTGATCACGAGGACTCCCAATATGCTACATGGGTTGAACTTTTCCAAATTCAAGCTTGTGCTTGCAACGTGCTTGATCATATTGACACGAAGGTTACACGTCCGACATATATTGATGATGATACGTGGAAGCGATTAGATGCGATTGTCAAGCAATGGATATATAGCACTATATCCAAAGATCTTGTTAATACTATCATGAAAGCGGGTGCTACGGCTCAAGAATTATGGACCCGACTCGAAGAGTTGTTTCATGACAATAAGCATACTAGGGCAGTGTATTTGGAGGAGCAGTTTTCGAATACCAAACTCGAGCACTATACTAATATGTCTGATTATTGTAAGCAAATCAAGATTCTCGCGGATCAACTTGCTAATGTTGATTGTCCCGTTTCAGATCGAAAGATGGTTATGCAATTAATTGCCGGACTCACCGAAGGTGAATATGATACTGTGGCTGCCATAGTATCTCAATCCGAACCAACTCCAAGCTTCAACAAGGCTCGATCTATGTTCCTTCTCGAAGAAACCCGCAAGAACACGCAACGGGAACAAGGCCAAGCCTTTGTGGCCCAGAACTCGCAGGCCCAAACCGGCACCACCACCGGCGCAACCCAGCCGCCTCCAGCAGACCAGCAGCGTGGCACCAGCAAGGGTCGCGGCCGCGGCCGTGGCAGCAGCAAGCAGAGTAAAGGCCGTGGTCGGGGGCGGGCTAACAACAACAATAATCAGCAGCAAGCTCAACAGGCCCCTCAATGGGGCAGGCCCAACAGGCCCAACCGCCACCTCAATGGCATCAGGCCCCTCAATGGGGAGCCCAACCATCCTGGCAACAGCAACCCGGGCAGTGGGCCTCACCACCCTGCCCATTTCCAACGGCCCAGCAACAGTCAAGTAGAGGGTCCAGTCCTTCGATTTTGGGCCGCCCTCCCCAACAGGCCTACTATGCAAGCCCAAGCCAGTCTTCTTACGGTCCACTTATGTCACCTAAGGATTTGGGGCAAGCATATAGTTCCATGAGTCTTCAACCGACGGACAATGGATGGTACATGGACACGGGAGCCACTTCACACATGACTCGTGACTCGGGTAACATTTCTAAACTGTTTAATTTGAGCACTCCTCAATTTATTTTAGTTGGTGATGGCAAACGTATTCCAATTAACGGCTATGACATGTTTACTACCCCCCACCTAATCCACCCTTTTCTCTCAAAAATATCCTCTTTATTCCTAACATAATTAAGAACTTAATTTCTGTTAGAAAATTTACTTGTGACAATTCCGTTTCTGTTGAGTTTGACCCTTTCGGTTTTTCTGTGAAGGACCTTCTTTCGGGGACAACTCTAGCGAGGTGCAATAGTGTGGGGGACCTCTATCCTTTCTCAAACTCTTCCGCTGCATATGGCACTAGTCAACTATCTCTAGCTGCTATTTCTCCTTCAACTTGGCATCTTAGACTTGGACACCCCGGCGAACCAATTTTTAATTTTCTTAGGAAGAACAATTTTATTAAATGTAATAAGAGAAATAGTTCTCAATTTTTCTATTCATGTCCTTGGGAAAACATGTACGACTTCCTTTTCAGTCATCTACTTCTATTACTTTTTCCCCTTTTGACATTATTCATATGGATTTATGGACTTCTCCTATTGCTAGCAAATTGGGTCATAAATACTATTTAGTATTGCTTGATGATTTCTCTCACTTTATTTGGGTTTTTCCTATTAAATACAAGTCACAAGTCTTTGATATTATCCTTAATTTCCGAGCATATGTTCAAACACAATTCGAAAAAGCCATAAAATCATTCCAAAGTGATAATGGTCGTGAATTTGATAATTCCCCCTTTCGCAATTTTTGTGCAAATAATGGCATGGTCTTTCGTCTCTCTTGTCCAAACACTTCTTCTCAAAATGACAAGGCCGAAAGAATTATTCGCACCATTAATAACATGTCTCGGACCATCCTCTTTCATGCTTCTCTCCCCCCTCCTTTTTGGGTATATGCCATACACATGGTTGCTTATGTTCTAAACATCTTACCATCAACAACCATTCAAAATAGGACTCCAACTGAAATTCTCTACCGTAGGACGCCCACTTATGATCACCTACGAATTTTTGGTTGCCTATGCTACCCAAACTTAAGTGCTACGGCCCCTCACAAACTTGCTCCTAGGTCCGTACCATGTGTCTTCTTGGGGTTCCCATCTAACCATAGAGGGTATTTATGCTACGATTTGTCCACTAATAAAATCTTGATTTCCCGTCATGTAACCTTTGTAGAGGATATTTTTCCCTTTGCTAACCTCAAACATTTTAGAAATCAAGACTATGATTTTTTGGATGCTAATGATAATGCTTCTGCCATGCTCCCCATTTTCATGCATTCTTTGTCACAAATCAGCCCACAAATCCCACAAACACATGGCCCACCTATTTCCCCAACAATTCCCACCATTCCACGCCAATCCCCAACCCAGCAGAGTAGTCCGCAGGTTGGTTGCGGCCCAGTCCCTCATACCGCAGCTGGGCCGCGGACTCCTATGCCATCTCCCCCCAATTCTCCCACCAGCCCACACGCCTCTCCTCTTAGCCCAACAATTCAGTTCGGCTCTCTTCCCTCCCCGACCCCGGTCCAACAAACTTCCCAAACTCGGCCCACTCCTCACCCTTCACACTCTATGGCCACTCGTGCCAAGTGTGGAATATTCAAGCCAAATCCAAAATATCAAGCTCATGTGTCAATACCCGATATTTCACCTTTGCCTAAAAATTCGAAAATTGCCATGCTTGATCATAATTGGAATGCGGCCATGAATGAGGAATTTAATGCTCTTACTAAACAACACACTTGGGATCTTGTTCCAAGACCAGAAGGGGTGAATATTATTCGGTGTATGTGGTTATTTAAACACAAATACAGGGAAACTGGTGAATTGGAGAGACATAAAGCAAGACTTGTTGTGAATGGCAAGTCTCAACAGGTTGGTGTGGATTGTGACGAGACTTTTAGTCCTGTGGTGAAATCGGCGACTATTCGTACTGTTTTAAGTATTGCTTTGGGTAGGGACTGGCCTATTCATCAATTGGATGTTAAAAATGCGTTTCTTCATGGTGACTTAAAAGAGACCGTTTATATGCATCAACCACCGGGTTTTGTAAATCCCGACGCTCCCACACATGTTTGCCGGCTTAACAGATCTCTCTATGGTCTTAAATAAGCCCCTCGGGCCTGGTATCAAAGATTTTCTAACTATCTTTTGCAGATTGGCTTTGTTTGCAGAAAAAGTGATAATTCCCTCTTTATTTTGCGACATGGTGCTAATGTTGCATATCTCTTGCTCTATGTTGATGACATTGTTCTTACAGCTTCCTCCGAACAACTCAAGTGTGATATTATTGCTCTTCTCAAGTCCGAATTCTCCATGACTGATCTGGGGAAGTTGAGTTTTTTTGGGGGTTTCTGTAACCAGAACAAAGGACTCTATGATCCTTTGTCAGAGTAAGTATGCAGAGGAAATTATTCACAGGGAAAAAATGGACAACTGCAAGCCGATTATCACTCCAGTCGACACTAAGTCGAAACTTAGTGCTCATGATGGTGAGCCAATGAAGGATCCCTCTCTTTACAGGAGTCTTGCAGGTGCTCTTCAGTACCTTACTTTTACCAGACCTGATATTGCTTATGCTGTCCAGCAGATCTGTCTGTTTATGCATGCTCCCAGGGAACCTCATTTTAACGCTCTTAAGCGTATTATCAGATATATTAAAGGCACTTATGATCATGGCCTACATTTGTACCGTTCTGCACCTACGAGACTTACTTCATACACTGATGCCGATTGGGCAGGCTGCCCGGACACTCGACGGTCCACTTCAGGTTATTGTGTTTATTTAGGTGATAATCTAGTCTCTTGGTCCGCAAAACGGCAAGATACATTGTCCAAATCAAGTGCCGAAGCAGAATATAGAGGTGTCGCTAATGTTGTTTCTGAATTATGTTGGCTCTAGAATCTACTTCTTGAGTTACATTGCCCTATTCGACGGGCATCCTTGGTCTATTGTGATAATATCTCCGCCGTTTACTTGTCTTCTAATCCGGTACAACATCAACGTACCAAACACATTGAGATGAACATTCATTTTGTACGCGATAAAGTCGCTCTTGGTGAGATTAAGGTCTTACATGTTCCGTCTTCATCTCAGTATGCGGATATTTTCACAAAGGGGTTACCTCGCCAACTATTTCTGGATTTCAGAGACAGTCTCAGCATTCGACCTCCTCCCGCTTCGACTGCGGGGGTGTGTTAGATAATATGTTTATATTATCTCGTAAATATTCTGTAAAATATATCTTGTGTATTTTAGGTTATTCTCATGATTAGGTTGTAAACCCTATATATATTGATTTAATGAGAATGCCTCCGCTAAGGAGAATTACACAATCTTACAAAAACCAAACCAAAATCGAATAATTTGAGAAAAGAAAAGTTATTATCAGGATTATATTTATTTTTATCTTCTACTCCATTTTCTGTTAGTTATGTCAATAACTGAATAATAGTTAGAGGATCTACCATTTATGGAGCCCTATCACTCGTACATTTATATAAATAACGATTGTTATAAACTTACATTTTTAATCTTAGGGTTACACTATTAATTTCAGCTAATAATAGGTAGCTCCACTAATTACCTCATTTTTAAAGTATTAGACATTCACGCACCTCTTTTCATCTAATCTCATTTTTCCATTTGTTTTAGTTATTATGATTGATATGTTATAAGATTTATACTTGTGTTATTAACCACTTTGAATAATAGCCACTTGTGTGTTGAGTCAATATTATGCCATGTATGTATGTATTAGTAATCATAATGGACGATCATCTTAATTTCGTACACTATGTCTTTCTTTGTTTCACCAGTTTTACCTGGTATGTGAGCTTTTGGAATTTTTAAATTCCCATCGTTAAGAAAGGAACCAAAACCTTTAATAATGTTAAGAAAAGAACCAAGAAGTTAAATTGTTGTTTGTGGACAAGGTATTTGTTAGAGGAGGATCCCTCTCTATCACGCTTACTGAAGAGGAGGATGTTGTTATTGGGGGTAACTTGGAATTGTCCGAAGAGGGCATGGCAAATTTGAGAGTTTCTATGTCGTTGATTGGGAAACTACTGACTAGCTAATCATACAATGTCGAGGCTATGAAAAGAGTGTTGAAGAATCTATGGTGTCTATCTAACAATGTAGCCATTCGTGTGATTGATACAAATATCTATATTTTCCAATTCTTTAATGAGGATGATAAGATGAAGGTACTAGATCGAGGGAAGACCGTGGGCTTTTTACAATCAACTATTGCTATTGGAAGAAGTACAAGCGGATGAACAACCCTATGATGTTGTGTTCCAAAGTTCACCGTTTTGGATTCGATTGTTGGATGTTCCGTTTGGTATGCGTCATGTGACCTTTGCTATTGAGATTGGGGAAAATCTAGGAGGTTTTATCGAATTGGATTACAACGACCCATTAGAGTGGGAAGAGACAATGTGTGCGAAGGTTTAATTGGCCAATATTAAAAAGCCACTAAGGAGGGGTGTTAAAATTGCAACTTGCAAAACTTCGACAAAGTGGATTGGCTTGAAGTACTAGAGGCTTGGGGATTGTTGTTACTTCTGTGGCAGACTTGGCCATATCAATAAGGAATGTATGGAGAAACATGATGATGAATCATCGACGGTCTTCCAATATGGGTTGTTTCTGGTTGCCTCCCATACAAAGAAGTTGTATTGATGTGAGTGAGCGAGAGAAAGAAAATAAATGGGTAGAGAATTTTAGCAAAAAAAGAGTACTTGCAAAGTGGTGTATAATTACCCCCAAGCAATCGGATTGGGACCTTAAGGAGTAGCAAGAAAACTTATGTTTTCATCTCCAAAATCAGCAGCAAGTAGCCCTCCCAAAGTGCGTGAAACTAGACTTATTGTGGTGGGTGATAAAGGGAGCAACAACAATGTCTTGAGGTTGTTACCGTTGGAGCAGGACTGGAACAATAAAAGTCTGGCTGATGAGAGGGAATGCTTTGTTGAGGATGATGTGGTGATGGGTAAATGTGGTGGAGGATGGGAATGAGGGTGTTGTGAGAGGACAAAGGGGGTGATGTTATTACTGAAATGAACAGTGTAAGGGGTCGGGGAGGGGGAGGTCAAATGCGAGTGATGTGAGGAAGGGGATATACAGGGCTAGGGCTGGAAAAAAAAGAAGATGTAATCTGGGGGTTGAGAATGAGATGGAAGATGTATGTTGTGGATGGTGAGAAAAAATTGAAGGTAGCTTAGTTGCTTATGGTGTTGGTGTGATTGTCACAAAGAAAGTAGAGGGACTTGGGTGCACCGGGCCCTCGAAGAACAATGAAAATAATAAGTTGGAACTACCACGGGCTTGGCAACCCGTGGAAAGTTCGTGCCCTCTAAGATCTTTGTTGGAGGGAAATGTTGAATATTGTTTTTCTTATGAAGACAATGCTTGATGAGAAGGTGTTGCAAAAAATTAAAAAATAGATGTGGTTTAAAGGAAGGGGTGTGTATTAGTAGCATTGGCAAATATATATGGTGGTATGGGATTTTGGTAGAGGGAGTTGAGGGTGAATGTTATGTCATACTCCATTCATCACTTTGTGGAAAATGTGATGAGTGAGAATAATGTGGCGAAATGGTGTGCTATGGGCATCTACGGTTGGCCAGAGCAAGCAAACAAACATAAAACTTGGTCACTTGTGAGGTACCTATTGTCATATATTTGGTGATTTTAATAATGAGGTAACGAGTATGACGGAAAATGAGGGTGGAGCTCAACGGAGAGAGAGTCTCGTGGATGCTTTTTGATGTGATATTGACAATTGTGCTTTGCGTGATTTGGGGTTCAAGGGGAGTAAATTTACATGGGAGAGAGGAAACTCCATGAATACCTATGTATGGGAGATATTGGACAGATTTCTTGTTACGGCAAGTTGGTGTGATCTTTTTCAAAACTTTGAAGCTCGAAACTTCCCTATCTTACACTCGGACCACGCTCCTATATTGGTCTCACTTAAAAAGAGGGGCAATGGTAATAGTAGCAGCAAGGCGTTTAAGTTTGAACAACTTTGGCTTTCGAAGGAAGAGTGGAATGATTTGGCTATTGATGGATGGACGAGTAGTGTGGGATTGAATATTGCTGAAAAGATTGCAAACTGTGGTGAGAATTTGGCTTGATGAACAGCTTTTACTTTTAGTTTTATTAAAACAAAGATAAAAATTGCTAAACAGAAACTAGTGGAATTGCGTGAGGGTACTATGGATGGAGCTCGGCTTGAGCATTGTTTGAGTCTTACTAAGGAGCTTAATTCTCATTACATGCTTGAATAAAGTTATTGGCATACAAGGGCTAATTAAGCTAGGGTTAATGAGCTTCGTACATTCACCATAAGCTAGCCAAAGAAAATCTCGAAATAGAATCGTTGGACTAATGAATGATGATGGGGTTTGGTGCAGTAACAAAGTGGATATTAAACGACTAATTGAAGCTTACTTTGCAAACTTGTTTGCCACGAGTTCTCCCATGGGCTTCCAGGATGCTCTTGCAAGCATAGATGAGGTTGGGACGAGTGAGATGGATACTTATTTATACCGTGAACCATCGGAGGAGGAGATCAAATAGGCCTTGTTCCAGATGCACCCAAATAAAGCACCGGGACCGGATGGTATGCATGCTTTATTTTTTTAAAAGTTTTGGCATAATGGGGTCTTGAAATTATTAGTTTTTTGAAAAAATGGTGAAGGGGTGAAGTTTATTTGTCAAAGGTAAATAACACTTGTGTGGTGTTAATCCCTAAATGTGATGACCCAAAAGAGTATTACAGAGTATCGACCAATTAGTTGCTGCAATGTTATATATATAAGATCGTGTTGAAAACTTTGGCAAATAAATTGAAGGTGTTTTTGGGAAATATTATTTCACAAAATCAGAGTGTTTTGTTCCTCATAGTCTTATTAGTGATAATGCTCTTGTGGCTTACAAAATCATTCATGCTATGAAGAGAGGTGGAGAAGGCAAAGAGGGTACGACGACTTTGAAACTTGATATGAGTAAGGCCTATGACCGAGTGGAGTGAGTGTTTCTGGTCAGGGTAATGGAAGAGATGGGATTTTTGGTAAATTGGATTCGTCGTGTTATGTGTTGTCTAGAGAGTGTGAAATTTGCTTTTAAAATTAATGGACAAATTTTTGGTGAGGTGACTCTTGCGAGGGGGTTACAATAAGGCGATCCGATTTCTTCGTATTTGTTCCTTTTGTGTACCGATGCGTTCTCTACTGTATTGAGTTAAGATGCTATGGAAAATCTTATTCATGGGGCTAGAATTTGCAGAGGGGCGCCTAGAGGATCTCATTTGTTTTTGCTGACGACATTATCCTTTTTGATAGAGCTAATGTTAGAGAATGCTTAGTGATAGCTGATATTATTAGTA